CCCTCTTTCTCTCTCTCTCGCTCATCTCCCTCTTTGTCTCTGGTGAGCTCATGCACTGGCCATTAAAAAAAAAGAAAAGAAAAGAAAAAGAGAAACATAATAGGCACAAATGTATACATGCCTAAAATCCCAAAAGGAGGGAGAGATGGAGGAGAAAGGATTATGGCATGACCATTCTCCATGGAGAGGTGCTTTCTTCTCTTCCTTTCTCTCTTTCTTTGGCAAGTGTACATGCCCTCTAGCAAAAAAAAACAAAAACAAACAAACAAAAAAAACAACTAATAGATAACTATTTATTCAAAGTTCTAATAGCAACAGTATGTACTCAATTAAATATTAGCATGACTAGCAGGTAGTGTAGTGATTAAGGCACTGGACTCCCACATGGCTGACCCAGTTGAAGTCCTGGACCTGGTGACTTGAAAATCACGATGGGTGCATGTGTGTGCATGCCCAAAATTCTAGGAGGAGAATGGACGAGAAAGGACTGCATTGTAGCATGGCCACTCCTCTGGGGAGTGATTTCTCACTTTCTCTCTCACTGTCTCTGTCTCTCTCCATCAAGCACAAATGCTCTATGGCAAAAACATTAAAAACAAAAAAGAAAGAAAGAAAGAAAATACTAGAATTCGAATCCAATAATGAACAAAAAGAATTATGTACCATGACCAAGTTGAGGGCCAAAGCTATATAATATTACTTTCTGAAATATCTGCTCAGTTTTTCATAAATCTAAAACTGTTTTAAAAAACATAGTTCATGAGCCTGGCAGGTGGGGTGGTGGTTAAAGGCGCTGGACTCCCATATGGCCGACCATGGTTTGAGTCCCAGACCTGGCGGCTTGTTTTCTCACTTTCCCTCTCTCTCTGTCTCTCACTCTGTCCCTCTCTGGTCAAACTTAAATAAATAAAGTTAAATAAAATAATTCTTTTTTTTTTTTTGAGAGGTTTTTGCTATACAGCATGTGCACTCGCCAGAAAGACAGAGAGAGACAGAGAGATAGAAAGCGAGAAATCATCCCCCAGGGGGGATGGCCACGCCACAATCCCTTCTCCTCCGTTCTCCTCTCGGGATCTTGGGCACGCATGCACACGCGCCCTGCATGAGTTTAGGCCGCCGGGTTCGGGACTCGAACTGCAGTCGACTACATGGGAGTTCAGCAACATAGCCATTACGCTAATTGCTCAGCCCAATAAAATAATTCTTAAAAAAAAAAAAAGAAGAAGAAGAAGAAAAATAGTTCAAGGAAATAGCAGATGGCGCAATGGTTACATTGCTAGACTCCCGTGGAGTCAACCACAGTTCAAGTCCTAGACCCGGCAACTTGGGACTCAGGCTGGGCGAGTGTGCATGCATGCCTGGATTCCTAGGAGGAGAATGGAGGAGAGGGGATTGCGGTGTGTCCATCCCTCTGGGGGGATGATTTCATGCATTCTGTCTCTCTGTCTCTCTCTGTCGGTGAGCACATATGCTCTATAGCAAAAATCTCTCTCTAAAACAAACAAACAAAAAATATAGTTCATTAATATTTTTAGAAAGTCAGAATTGTTCATTCAGATGATATTGATAGTCTTCCAGTTCTCATCAGAGACTGTTAGTTGTCTACACAATATCAAATCAGAAATTAAATTCTGATTTAGTTTGGGTAACAATGTGTCCAACTAAATCACTTTATTTTCTAGCCTTCCTTGCATCTAGAGATGGCCAATCAGATGTAAATAGAGCTTGTCAGATTATAGTAAATGGCTTTAGCTTTGGTATAAAAACATGCTGGTCTTGTTAGCAGAAGCTTCATTCACCTCAACAGAGCCAAGAGATGTACTTTTCCCCTAAGATTGGTAAACTTGGTATCATTCAATTTCTGAGTTTAAAATTCTTGAATATTGTCCCTTGACAGCTTGTCTGACAGGACCTCGACTTATAAATTGGTTAAGTAGGGGTGAGTCCTTTTATTTATTTTTTATTTTAAAGAGAGAGATTTTTATTATAGGGCGCATGTGCTCACCAGACAGACAGAGACAGAGAGACAGAAAGTGCGAAATCACCCCCCAGGGGGGATGGCCACACCTCAATCCCTTCTCCTCCATTCTCTCTTGGCATCTTGGGCACGCACGCACACATGTCCAACGTGAGTTTAAGCCACCGGGTCCGGGCCTTGAACCCCAGTCAACTACATGGGAGTCCAGCGACATAGCCATTACACTAACTGCTGGTCCCAGTAGGGGTGAGTTCTTTAAGCTACAAACTGTTCATCCTCCAATCCCCACCCTGCCAATAAAGTTCTCATGCAGCTAAAAAAAGAATAAGATTATAGAAATTTCTCTAAGTGGTTCTAAGACAGTTATTTTATTTAACTTTATTTATTTAAGTTTGACCAGAGAGGGACAGAGTGAGAGACAGAGAGAGAGGGAAAGTGAGAAAACAAGCCGCCAGGTCTGGGACTCAAACCATGGTCGGCCATATGGGAGTCCAGCGCCTTTAACCACCACCCCACCTGCCAGGCTCATGTTTTTGTTTGTTTGTTTGTTTGTTTGTTTTAAATTCACGACTACTCTCCTTTTCCAGTTTTATGCCATGAATGTGAATGTGCAGGCTGGAGTTTCAGTAGCCATCTTGGACCATGAGACAACCTTGTGGATGGAAGGCATTTATTTTTGTATTTATGTATTCATTTATTTTAAAATGGAGTATTCCTATGTTGTCCAGGCTGGCTTCAAACTCTTGATCCTTTTGCCTCAGCCTCCTGAGTAGCTAGGATTATAGGCTCATGCCACTGTATCCAGCTTGGAAGGGACATATTAAAGTATGAAGAACAAAAAGATAGACTGAGCATAGATACCAGATGATACTATTGAGCCAACATACCTACCGGTCCTGTACTTCCTTTATATGAAAGATAAATGAGCACTCACCTTAGGTAAGCCCACCGTTACTAGATGTCTCTGCTATTGGCAGGGGATGGGTGGCCAAGAAAGTCTCAAACTGTTTTAACTAAATATAAATAAAATAAACAAAAGTAACATCCTCACCTATGTCTGTTAGACATAGTTCCTTCCATTTCCTACCTGACCACTGCAGGAGGATCAAGGTAGCAGCGACTTTCCAAGTCCCAAATAATCCTTTTCTTTATGCATTCTGCTTGGTTCCTAAATTCCCGGTCCTGTGAAATAATAAGATCGAGACTTCTGTTTTCTATATGTGCCATGGTTTCAACCTGCTCAATCTAGGGGACATTCTTCTAATGAATTTTTATCACAATACTTTTATTAGTACTACTATTACTACTACAAGTATGACTACTATTGCAACTACCACTACCACCACCTTAAAACTGCAGGTACTTTTATTAATAAAGTATTGGGTCATCAGAAAGGTCATGATGCATTTTTGTATAGAAAAATAGAAAAATATTTCTATTTCTAACTCTATTTCTAGAAACATTGGCAATACTGAAACAACACACCAAAAAACGCAACCAGTAAGTAAACATGCAATGATCCTGGAAAAATATGTCTCTCTGGACAAGAGGAAATATTTCCTTTTTTTTTTTAGAATTATTTTAGTTAATTAAATTAATTCATTAATTTTAATTTGACCAAAGAGGGACAGAGAGAGAGAGAGAAAGTGAGAAAGCAAGCCGCCCAGTCCGGGACACTAACCATGGTTGGCCATGTGGGAGTCCAGAGCCCTTAATCACCACGCCACCTGCCGGCCTTCGAAATATTTTCTTTTACAAATATTTTGGAAACAATGCCTAAAATTATAGAGGGGTTGAAAATAGAATTTGAATAAAGTTATATTAAAAGGGAAAACACCCAAATCAGTAAAAGTTAAAAGTCTTTCGGTTTTGGGGGGCCGGCAGGTGGCATGGTGATTAAAGGCGCTGGATTCCCACGTGGCCAACCATGGTTTAAGTCCTGAACCTGGTGTCTTGCTTTCTCGCTTTCTCTTTCTCTGTCTGTCTCTCTCTGGTCAAATTAAAAATAATAATAATAATAATGAATGGAATTAATTACATAAATAAATAATTTTTTAAAAAAAGTCTTCCGGTTTTCTTTTAAAAATGTCCTTAGTAAAATCCCCCAACTATTAAATGATGAAGTATTTTTCTAGGAAAAACAAAATGCTTGCAAACTGTTTCCTATATTGCTTTGTGTGTCAGAGTCACTCGCAACTCCTGCTGTGCTGCTGTCTGGCCCATCGCTTTCTTTGTCCCAGTCTTTCTCAGATGCTCCCATCATAAAATCACCAGGCAGAATCGTCCATCCTGGGCCCTCTTCTGGTTTCACTTCACGATGTTTGCCTTTGGAGTTCTTTCCAGCAGAACTTTTCTCACCTGTACTCCTATCCATTCCTCCCAGAACGCTGATGAAATCTTTCTTGGAGACAGTTCATGATAACTTAGCACGCTTTCTCACAGAGCTTCTTTAACTTTTTCATCAACGTTCTTTTGATGTTTCTGAACAGTACTAGATAACTGTACCACACCCCTCGTTGCAATTCTCTAAAGATTTCTCTATCGCTCTGTCTCTGACATCTGACTTTACTCTGCACGTTATTTCCCACTCTCGCTTCTTATGAAGCTGTTTTCTTTTCTCCAGTCTTTCTTGCTTCAGTTTTTCTTTTTCCTTTCCCAGCACTTTGTTTTTGACCAGAATGGCGGGTTTGCTTTTAGGAGTATTTTTGTTAAGGATTTTGGCCACGGCATCTGTTCAGCCTACATTGGTCCCACCGCCTGATTCTGCAGCATTTTCATTTTCTTTGTCAAAGGGTTCAACATCATCTTCATTGTCAGCTTCTATTGCTCCATCATCAGAGGAAAAACAATCCTTTTCCAATTCACAGCTTCCTGCAAAACCTTAGGTCCTGTTTAGAACTTTTCCATTGGACTAAGAAAGTTTCTTTTTATTTATTTTTTTTTTTGGAGAGTTTTTTTTTTTTTTTTTCTCTAGGGCACGTGCGCTCACCAGACAGACAGAGACAGAGAGACAGAAAGCAAGAAATCATCCCCCAGGGAGGACAGCCATGCCACAATCCCCTCTCCTCCATTCTCCTCCCAGGATCTTGGGCACCCACGCACACATGCCCGGTGTGAGTTTTAAGACACCAGGTCTGGGACTCAAACCGTGGTCAACTACATGAGAGTCCAGTGACATAACCATTATGCCACTGCTGGTCCCAGAAAGTTTCTTTTTAAATGGAAGTATTACCTCCAATATCAGAATCGTCTTTACCCTCATCTTCCAGCTCTGATGCTGCAGCCTTGGGTACCATTTTCATCATCTTCTTCAGAAAATTTTTCAGTTTTTTGCCCACATTTACCCATCAGTACCTAACTGCTGTGGCCATTTTTCCTTATTATTATTTTTCATTTTGACCAGAGAGTGAAAAAGCAAACCGTCAGGTCCAGGACTTAAATAGTAGTTGGCCATGTGCAAGTCCAGCACCTTAACCACCATGCCACCTGACAGCCCCGATTTTGTATTGTTTTCTTATAAGTGAGCCAGTCCCTCTGATGTGTGACTGCCTTTCACTCTTTGCAAAGAAACTCTTTTTTCTTTTTTTTTTTAAAGAATTATTTATTTAATTTTATTTATTCATTCTTTTTTTTTTTAATTTACCAGAAAGACATAGAGAGAGAGAGAGTGAGAGAGGGAAAGTGAGAAAGCAAGCCACCAGGTCCGAGACTCGAATCGTGGTCAGCCATGTGAGAATCCAGCACCCTTATGCACCATGCCACTTGCAGGTGGCACTTGCCCCATCTTTTTTCTTTTCTAAATGCTTTTGTCTTCAAGTTTGTCTCTGACTATATGTGTATGTGTGTGTGTGTGTGTGTGTGTGTGTGTGTGTGTGTGTATAAATATGTATATATATTTGCCTTTGTATGCATAAAAAATTTCTAAAAGGAGGGACAAGCAAATGGCATAATGGTTGCGTCACTGGACTCTCACATAGTTGACGGCAGTTCAAGTCCAGACCCAGTGGCTTTAAACTCAAGCCAGTCACATGTGTGTGCAGGCCCAAAACCCTGAGAAAAGAATAGAGAAGGGGTTGCAGCGTGGCCATCGCCCCCTGGGGAGTGATTTCTCGCTTTCTGTCTGTCTCTCACTGTCTTTCTGGTGAGCACACGTGCACTATGGCAAAAACCTCTCTAAATAATAATAAAATATCTGAAAAGAAACATAGCAACTGTAACAAAGACGACTAGTAAGGTAATGAGATGGGAAGAAATTAGGAGGAAGAAAATGAGTAGGAGGGAGGTTTTCACTGCATATAGCTGAATTTTTTGTTTTGAACTATGACAGTGTTATTGCCTATGAATAAGTAAATTAAAAATAACATAAAGGGTAAATTTGATTTAAGTTATTTTGAGGTGCCAGCAGGTGGCGTGGTGATTAAGGGTGTTGGATTCCCACATGGCCAATGCGGGTTTGAGTTCTGGACTTGGCGGGTCGCTTTCTCACTTTCTTTCTCTCTCTCTCTCTCACTCTGTTCCTCTCTGGTCAAATTAAAATAAATAAATAAAGTTAAATAAAATAATTCTTTAAAAAAATAAATAAATTATTTTGCTTGCTGGACTTAAGTCAGGAGACTTTTTTTTTTTTGGAGAGGTTTTTGCTATAGGGCACATGCGCTCACCAGACAGAGAGATAGAGACAGAGAGACAGAAAGCAAGAAATCAGTCCCCAGGGGGAATGGCCACGCCGCAATCCCTTCTCCTCCATTCTCCTCTCGGGATCTTGGGCATACATGCACACGTGCCCAGCATGAGTTTAAGCCACTGGGTTCAGGACTCGAACCGTGGTTGACTACATGGGAGTCCAGTGACATAGCCATTACGCTAACTGCAGGTCCCCAGGAGACACTTTTTTTATATATATTTTTTGTTTTTTGGAGAGGTTTTTGCTATAGGGCACATGCGCTCACCAGACAGAGAGATAGAGACAGAGAGACAGAAAGCAAGAAATCAGTCCCCAGGGGGAATGGCCACGCCGCAATCCCTTCTCCTCCATTCTCCTCTCGGGATCTTGGGCACGCACGCACACACGCACCCGGTGTGAGTTTTAAGCCACCGGGTCCAGGATACAAATCGCGGTTGACTACTTGGGAGTCCAGTGACAGCCATTACGCTAACTGCTGGTCCCCAGGAGACATTTTTATCAGAATTACTTGGGTGTGTTTTATTTTGACATGTAATCATTTTATTTTGACAAGTGACAGGTTCATAAATTACAGTTATCATCTGTCAGCACGCTAAGTGTATCACCAAAGCCTGCACAATTCAGGTTCTCTCTCACCTCAGGGTGGTTGAGTTCTCCTTCTTCTTCCTCATAAGGACCACCAACAATGAATGCATCAGGAATATTATTAGCTCCTGGAGCCAGGATGTTGGCAATAGGCCATTTTTTGGGTCGGGGAACAGGTTCTCTTTCCCCTCCAAGCTTCAGAATTCCATTCTTGAATAAAATGGGATAGTCCTTCTACAGAAATAAATACCATATATCAGGAAAAAATTGTTAAGGACTTTGAAACAGACAAAAGGATTATGGAAGGATCTTTCAATGAATGCCAGGTGTTGTCAAACACACCCTTCTGTGATGATCTGATTCTACAGAGGGGCCTATGCCCTTCTTTGTCTCCCATGCTATTTTATAACTCTGTAATTGACAGGAAATTGATAATAATACAAATTATTCCTCCCCATAGAGATGTGAATATATTTTGTCCAGTGTTGATTGAATTATTGATTGCCCTATGGCTAATGACAAGTTTTGAATTATTAACAAATTCATTTCAGCATTAGTAATGTCTATGAATGGGTTGCTTCCTCAGATTTTCCATTGAACTTGTTTTTACATTTTACTGGTTCCTTCACTAATTACCTAAATAAAACTGATCAAACTATTTGCCATTATATGTTTAATGCGTGTCATGATCAAACCTGTTTAAAAATTATCCTTTAAACAACAAACTAAAATCTGTCAAGGTACTAAAATATTTTTCATATTTTATTATTTATCTGAAATATACTTGTAATGGAAGATTGGTAAAATACATAAATAGGAAATTTATAAAATAGAAAAATCAGAAAATCCAACATTTAAATAACAACATGCTATGTGCCATTTATAATCAATGATATGCACATTAAAACAATGAGCTATCACTTTAAACTCGAGATTGTCAGAATCAGAATCTGAAAATATCATATGTTGATAATATCGTGAATAGAAATAGGGTTTTTTTCTTGAGAGATTTTTTTTTTTCTATACAGCATGTACACTTGCCAGAGAGATAGAAGTGAGAAATCATCCCCCAGGGTGGATGGTCGTGTCGCAATCTAATCATAGTCAACCATGGTTCAAGTCCTGGACCCAGCAGCTTGAAACTAACACTGGTCACATGTGAGTGTATATCCAAAATCCTGAGAGAAGATGGAGAAGAAGGGATTGCAGTATGGCCATGCCCCTTGGGAGGTGGTCTCTTGCTTTCTATCTCTCTGACTGTCTTTGTCTGCCCAGGGAGTGCACATGCCTTATAGCCCTAGAGCAAAAATCTCTAAAAAATAAATAAACGAATAAATAAATAAAATAAAAACTACAAACTCAAACTCTAGTTTTCTGAATTAAGCATTAAAACCTTTTATAAAGGAGGGACACTACTAGAAGGGACTTCTAAAATCCATTCCTCCATATTAATGCAAGCTAGCAAAAACTTAAAATTAAGGGTGCCAAGACCATTCCATGGAAAAAAGACAGTCTTACTAACAAATGGTGAGGGGAAAAGTTCACATGCAAAAATTATATTGGACCCCTGCCTAATACCACATGCAAAACTGAACTAAAAATGGATCAAAGGTCTAAACATAAGAACTAAAACTATAGAAGTCTTAGAAGAAAATAAAGGAGAATAGCTTCATGATATTTGTAGGTCAATGATCTCAGATATGACATCAAAAGCACAGGCAATAAAATCTAGAATAAGCAAATTTGATTTCATGAAAATTAAAAACTTTTGAACACCAAATGACATTATCTACAGAGTAAAAAGGCAATCTACAGGCTGGGAGGAAAATATTAATATTTGCAAATCACATATGTGATAAAGGATTTATAAACAGATTATATAGAGAACTCCTAAAACCTAACAAAAACAACCAAGCAATTCAAAAATTGGCAAAGGGCCAGCCATGGTCGGCCACTGTGTGATACTGGCGCCATATGGGAAGACCTAAGGTTGGATCACAGATTGACTGAACATGCTTGCTGCATCTGCAGATGCATCTGTGATCCTGGTCAACAGGCAGGCTTAGAAGAGATCACAATGTGGTGAGACTCTAAAGATACCCGTCTCTTTCTATCTGTGTGTGTATCTGTCTGTCTCTGTCTCTGTATCCTCTCTCTCTCAGGAAAGGAATGATAAATGTGTTTTTTTAAAATTCATAGTACTATCTTCTTTTAAAGTTATTTTATTTATTCTTCTTCTTCACTTTTATTTGAGAGAGAGACAAAGAAGGAGAGGGAACATGAGCAAACTACCATGTTTGATCTGGGACTCAAACCATGGTCAGCCATGTGGGAGTCCAGTGCCTTAGCCACCAAGCCACCTGTCGGCCCCAGGAATAATAAACTTTTTTAAAAAGGACAAAGTTTTCTTGAATAGGTATTTCCCCAAGGAAGATAGGTAAATTATCAATAAGAACATTAAAAGATGCTCAAATATCATTAGTCATTAGAGAAATTCTGTCAAAACTACCATGACATGCCATTTCACACCTATTAGGATGGTAGTATAAAAAATAAAACAGAGGGGCCAGCAGGTGGCATGTTGGTGGTTTGAGTCCTAGACCTGACTGTTGACTTTCTTATTTTCCCTTTCTCTCTCTCTGGTCAAACTAAAAAATAATAACAGGGACCAGCAGTTAGCGTAATGGTTATGTCGCTGGACTCCCACGTAGTCGACTGCGGTTCGTGTCCCGGACCCGGTGGCTTAAAACTCACGCTGGGCGCGTGTGCGTGCGTGCCCAAGATCCCTAGAGGAGATGGAGGAGAAGGGATTGTGGCATGGCCATCCCCCCTGGGGGGGTGATTTCTCACTTTCTATCTCTCTGTATCTGTCTGTCTGGCGAGCACACGCACCCTATAGCAAAAACCTCTTAAAAAAATAATAATAACAAATAAAATTAAATAAATAATTCTTTAAAAAAAAGAGAAGAAGAAAATAACAAATTGGCCAGGAAATGGAGAAAATGGAACCCTTTGCACTGCTGATGGGAATGTAAAATAGTATAGACACTATGGAAAAGAGTGTATCTTTTTTTAAAAAAATTACTTTGGAACCAGCAGGTGGCGTTGTGGTTACGGTGCTGGCCACTCCCACATGGCTGACCATGGTTTGAATCCTGGACCTGGTTGCTTGCTTTCTCACGTTCTCTCTCTCTGTTTATCTCTGATAAAATTTAAAAAGTAAAAATGAATAAATAAAATAAACAATTATTTTTTAAAAAGTAAAAAAAAATTAATTTTAATTTTAATTATTTATATATTTATT